AAATTCGAATAGTTTTGGCCCAGAAAGCGAAATTTGAATATCAGACACTTAGGTGCAAGATTATGCCAAAATTCCATGTTTTCTGTCCCGTTTTTTGCTCATATCTCGGAAGCAAAATGAGCAAGAACGCTCATTTGTACATTATTCTAGAGATAAATAAATGGTCCTTTTAGAAAGTGAACCATGGATGGGAAAATGTTGGCAGTTTTCTCAAAAAATGCTTGAATTCAAGAAGTTTTATATGTGCGTGGTTTTTTGAGTTGCAAAATCTGCTTGCTTTTTTCGAAGTTTCTCAAGAACCTTTCGAGCCCCCCCTGGATCCGCCCTGGCCAATGAGACATCGAATCTGATGCATCGGGCGTGAAATTGAGATGAAACAGAGAATCCAGTTAACGGAAATTACTTTTCTATCAGTAATAAGTTGAACAGATCTTCAGTGACAAATAAGAGAAGATCAATCAGACATCGAAGATGAAATAGAGTATCCAGCTAATGGAAATGTTTTTTCGAACAGTAAAAATTGAGATCTCCAGTGGCGATTAAAAGAACACATTTTGATGAAAATCACTTGTCGAACAGTGAAAAATTAAGAGATCTTTACCGGCAAATAAAAGAAGCCCAATCAGACGTCGAAGATGAAATAGAGAATGCTTCTAATGCAGATCTTCATCATACCGCCCTAAGGAGAAGAAGAACTTGTGCCAAGTGATAGTAATAGTTTGGTAATATCTGGTTAAAGAAGCATACAATATTTCGAAGACTTTAAAACCCACAGTTAATAAAGACACTAGAAATACCATATACTGGATATGGGGGCATTAGAAGCAACACTGAAAGGTGGTAGAAATGCCAGTAGCCTTCCGGGTCGTACCAAAATTAAACCGATAATGTGTTTTGAATAAAAGTTTATTGAAACTAGAAATGTTGATGTTAGAGTCAAATTGAGTAGTTAAAGGGCAAAGGGTGATGATGATCAACATCCGACAATGTGGTGCAAGGACGGTGTAGACTGTGTTGGATGATGGCAGATGTGCGCTCCTACTTCCAAACAATAAGAGTGAATAATATTTTTCGACGTCACTGTTGGAAGAGTGGTTCGGTACCATTGTAATGGTGGGGTGCGGGGTCTCCGTCCGACCGACCATCAAGCGCTAGCACTCACCTTACCACTTCCACTGAACCAAACAAAAACGAGATTTGAAGTTCTTTAGCAGCGAGCGCAGTAAACGTGTAGAATTGAAAATCGATGGTGTATGGTCGGCTTCGGAATAATTTTTCATATAAAAATACGAATACCGAGCACCTGTTTCATCAGTGGTTTTACCTGTTTTCAGGAGTGGGTAGTGCGCGATAGCGTGATGATCCTTTTTTTGGCAGTTTGACGTTTGACCTTTCCTCGAGTGTTAAGGCACCGTTAGTGTACCTAGAGTGGCCTTGGAGGGACATTTTTCAAAAAAAATGTCGGCCGAAAAATTGAACGGCAATCATTCCAAAGCGCGGCTTTGTCATATTCGAAAAGTGGACAACTTTGATGGATACGGTTTCAATCTGCATGCAGAAAAAGGCAAGCCTGGCCAGTACATTGGCAAAGTGGATGATGGATCTCCTGCGGAAGCAGCCGGCTTAAGGCAAGGCGACCGAATCCTGGAAGTCAATGGAGAAAGCATTGGAGATAAAACGCATAAGCAAGTCGTCGAACTTATAAAGCAACACTCTGACGAAACCAAACTTCTGGTAGTAGACCCCGATGATAACTCCATTATTCCCACAAACAACACCGAATCGTTAAAGCATGCGGAAAATGCGTCGAATGGAAAGCAGGAAAATAATTACTCCAACAACAAAAATCACAGTGCAGGAAAGAAAGAAGCAAATGGTACCTTGAACCTCAGTATGACAGCAGCGGAACTTCGAGCTAAGCTAGCAGCAAAGAAGAAATTCGATCCCAAGAAAGAAGCCATGGACTTCAAGCAGAAGTTTGATATAGTCCAAAAGTTATGAGACCTGTAAGTGTTTGGTTTATAGTGTGAATATGTGATGTGTACTGTTAAACGAAATGTTATTCTCATTCTCATGTTTGTCTAATTAGCGACAAGATTCGCGTTTAGAAGGAATTTTATTTTTTATGAATAGTATTAAGGAGTGGCTGAATATATCACCGTTTAAATATGCACACTTGTATATTGCCTCTGGCTCAGAGGTCGCATATCTATAAGGTTATAAATACTCTCGCCTTTAACTTGGAAAAGAAGATGTTCTTGTTCAGGTAAAACCGCTTTCACTGTGTCTCGGACATCATTAAATCTAAGCAATTCCTTTGGAATGTCGTTAAATTCTCTATAACTTTGCTTCATTGTAAAACACACGCTGGGCGATCTAATAATAAAACGATTCATTTTGTAGCTAGGATTTATTCCTCGAAATTTATTTCTTATACAAATACATGTTATGAACTTTTTGTGGATTTTCATTTTTTCACTTCACATTCCAAAAATCATTCTTCGAACCGTGGACATTTTCACAAATTATTAAAATTGCACACATTATCTCGAGGTCAATTGACAAATATACACAATTATTAGAACGATCCTTATCATATCCTATTCCAATATGTTACAATTCCAAAGTCATTCATGAATCAATAAATTAATTAAGATAATTTTTTAAATACAGGACGATAAAATGTGTAATCATTCTCAGACCTTCTGTTCGATTGCGATTCGCTATTTCAATCAGGTGGAATTCTTAATTGAAATAACAATTTTAAGCCAAATAAGTGACTGATAAAGTCAAAACTTAATCTGATTTAATGGCATTGATTGAATTAGTATTAATAAGTTTAGAAATAAGTACTACATGAAAAACCCGTTTTTTAACTGAATAAACATATTTATTACATATACTGGAATTTTTACAGCAAATTATACACACAGTCCATAAAATTTAAAATCAAATCCAGATCTTCCATAGATATTTGGAAAATGCCCACTCAAACACCCAAACCTTCTACAGCTTTATCGATTAAAACATTTTTGGTTGCGGTTTTGCGTGGATCACCCTTTTAATATCCACATGCGAAGTTCAAATATCACTGTGGTAAATTAACCATTAGAGTACTGAACCCAATAAAGCTTCGGTTAAGCCTACAAACAGTAGACGCGTTGTAGAATCGGACTTTACATTATACGGGCATACAATTTAAATTATCAATCAGAAGTTTTTTTGCGAATACACAAAAGCAGTTTTTTTGAAACGTGGTCAAGTTCTCGGTTAACCCAGAAGTCGTTATACAGTAGGTACAATATACTAAAAACAAATCTAAATACTTCCGGGACTTTGCATGATCTGATCTAATTCACTGTTTTGAAGGGAAATACGTTTTTTTCAATGTTATGTGTGTAGCGTATTACGTATTCTACCGGTATTGCGATAATCAATCAACTAGAAATTGCCCCTATGTACTAGAACAAAGGATATTTACATTGGTACCGTAGAAATCGAAAACAATGTTTTAGTTTTTCAATGCAATCTCAATGCTCTTTCAGGTAAGTTAAATAATAATAACTACAGAATAGTGTGTTTGATGCCTTACAAACCAGCCATTGTATTTTAGCGTTTAATTAAAAGCAGTGATGTGCAATTGAGAAAACTTGCTCTTTCAAGAAATCCTTTATTTTATAAACTAAGTGGTAGACCTGTATGGAAACCGAAGAGTTCTTCATTCAAACAGAGAATATTGGAATTTGCAGAAAAGCAATGCAGCGTATTTTATTATACAGGGTATCAATTTGAAAACTTCCCACCCTTAACATCTTTCTTGCAGTTGAAAATATGAAAAATCGGAATACCCGTCAATTTTATTTGAAAGGGGGACACTTTAAGGGGTCTCCTTGTTTCAACCCCCTAGGACGGGTAGATGTCACCCTTAGAATCTTAAATGGGAAGGCGGGTCAAGTGGCACATCGTTCAATTCTCTTTACATTAGTTACTATTTTGTTGTGTTTTGTTCAGAGGTTCTCTAATAATCGCGTCTTAAAGTTGTAGAAACCATTAAACTTGCGTGCATTCAGATATTGGGTTTCTGGTTTGTGTTTACAGAAATACAATTGTATTGAGCCTCCTTGTAATACAGAGTAGGTTACACTGTTAAAATCATTGAATAACAGGAAGAAAATCTAGTTTAAACAATTGATTTCGGATTTATTGATTATTTTACTAAAAAGAAAATTATTTACCGAACAGAAATTTCTACAATAAAACCCATGATATCTACTTACGCACCATCTTATAGGTTGTTCAAAATGTTGTCTATTTTCCTGTAAACAATAAAGTCTATTTTCGAACCCTCCCTAACATGGATAAAATATTCCCGGATAGATCGTTTGGCAGAAGGGGACCAATTGAATGGCCTCCAAGATCACCGGATTGAACACACTTAGACTTCTTTCTTTGGGGACATCTTAAGTCCATTGTTTATAAAACACAACCTGCTGATATTGATGATCTTAAAAGGCGAATTGCAGCAGAATCCCGGTCAATTCCCTGCAAAGTATTCCGAAAAGCTAGGAAGGAGTTTGGAAACAATTTAATAAGATAGTGTGTAGATTTTATTGAAGAAATTTATCTTCCGCAAATAAAAAGTTATTTTTGTCCACGTAAAATAATCAATAAATAAGAAATAATGGACGCGGCTTAACACATTGTACCTATTTAACAAACGCTTCCTTAAAGCCGGGGATACCGGGTTATTCCCAGCTTCACTTTGCTATCTACAACTCGCCTACAAGACTAATGTAACTCATAGAGGTTGAGTGTAGGTACAGACAAATTGACACATATTTTTTCCAAACTAAATGAAGAATCAAAAACCGATTTTTGATTTCATGAAAATATTCTTAAAAGTATACAGAAACAATTGCTTGAAATGAATAACGCATGCTAAAAACTGTACTAATTGCACAAAACCCAAATCGTAAAAAGCTAGAATCTAAAATTCCCGAAACTGCAAGCAAAAATGTTGATTTTTTGCTGTAAAGTGAACAGTCCACTATTAAAATTCCGACTGCAAGACGCTAATTTTGAACCATTCTGTATCGCATTGGACAGCCGACAATCAAAAAGTAGCCTGAAAACCAGAAGTCCATATGAGAGAAAAACATGTGCAAAATGGTTTGTTTACCAAACACCGTCATAACAATGTTATATAATGCTAATATTGAATTATAATTTAATGATGCCAAGGTCACCATGATACATAATGGCAATAATTCAATTATTTCACTGGAAACCATCATCAATAGCGATTTTGCAGATAGTTAAGAGGTCACTTGATGGGTTTTCTACCATCTACCATCTGCTGTGGTCAATTCTCCGCAAACTTTTTCATTCAACCAAGATCACATGGTTTCAACAAATGCACTGATCAGAATTCCTTCGAAAACCCGTTGCTGGTTAGCATTTGTTTATTTATTAGTATGCAATGGATTCATGGAAAGTTTTGGTTTCATACAGGTACATAGAAGGCATTTAAATTAACACCTCTGATTTTTTGTCCCAAACAGCAGTCACACATTTTAGATGATTCTGTGAAAAAAGTGTTTTTCCATACAGGGTTCAAAAATGGCGTCATTCCTTTTAAGGATATATAGGGGCCCACTTAGAGAGTACGAGAAAAATGTTTAAAAATTTTTTTACGAAAATTTAAAGAAGATATTACCAGTGGAAGATTGTTATTAAGCATTATTTTGAAAAGGTCCCACATTTGGTTGGTAGCCTATTGGAATACTTAAGCATTCGAAAAGAAAAATTACGATCTTTTTGTCAAATTACAAAAATTTTTTATACTAAAAAAGTGCTCTTCTACAATTTTTTGATGAAAAGTCAAAGCGGCAATGATGTTTTTTGTCATTAACAGATAGTTACAGGTAGACAGCCTTTGTCAATAATAACAAGCATTTGTCAAACTGTGGCTTATTTTGAAGCTCCTTGAAGCTGCTCAAAATATGAAAAGTGATTGGGACACAAAGATGTTTGGAGTGAAACAGGCAGGACTTCTTGCTCTTGAGAACACTTGTGTTTTAACAACAGAATTGTATTTTATTTGATCAATGATACATAACCTTTAACCGATGGTTTTGGATGACAGTTGTGACTTATTTAGGTATATCACTCATTTGCCCCAAGAAGATGGCTCGGGCACTCGGGGGCTGTTTTGTCGTAGCACTGACCTCAAGGTGACACCGTCATCCTAACCTCAACGCATGTTATTGTCTCTTTTAAATAAAAGACAATCTTAGCTTCATGTTTATCCATGGTTACGGGAGTTTTTAATAATTACGAAGGGACAGATATTTGCGAAATGTTAATTAGGCAGATTACCTTGAAAAACATTGTTGCCATATTTCTGATCTAGTTTTTTGCAAATATCTGAGTTTTTAAAAACACCTAATGTTTTTTACTATTTTTTCTGTACTCCCAAGACGCCCCCAGACAACACCTCCAGAGGAATGACGCCAATGTTGAATCACCCTGTATAGAATCACTGTTAAATCAATGTGTTTTGACGTGTCAAAGGTTGCAAAGCTGCTGCGTATAACCGCTCCATGAGAAGCGCAGAAACAATCAAATGAGTCAACTGTCTTTTGCCATTAAAATGTGACAAATCTGACGGTGAAAATTCGCAAGAATTAAACTAAACCAGACAATATTAGAAAGTCATTTTGAGTTCGATTATTGGCTGTTCGATTTAACAGGAAATTGTATGTTGGCAATGGCAATCTGCAACTGTTTCCATAAGGAAACAGCTGAATTTCCACGAAACAAATTAACGTTAGGGTACTTGTGTCATACTTGTGGAGTTTAACAACACCACGGGGTTTTTAAGTGTCATTTGAATTTTAAAACTTTTATAAATGATTACCGTAATGGTCTTATTAATAAGCAAAGTTCAGATATTGTGCAGTCGACTCGCTCAACTGCAGACATTCTCAAGGCTTGTTTTATTCTGTAATAAAAAATGTTTGCTTTTAAAGACAGTTACTAAGAGTGGCGACAGTAATTTTTCTCTAATGCGTATTCATTAAAAATCCATGCCAACAAGCACGTAGCAGGAGGAAATCAGCGTACAGTAGCTGATCGCTGACAAGCGCTGTTTTCAATTCCTCTTTAGCTAAGAAATTCTTCGCAATGTATTCAACTTTGTGGTTGAATACATAATAATTTGTTAATTTAATAAAAATGTTTCACAGAATTATAGTAAATCTAAGCTTTCTTAATTTGAAACACTTCCAGTTTTGCTTTTTTTAACCAGTTGCCTTAAAAGTGAGGCATTGCGATTTGATTAGTAAAGTTTTCGTTTTTATACAGCAAATCACTACAATAGAATTTCCGATGGTAAATTCGACTAGTTGACGCTCGTTCTGAAAAAGCACGTTTTTACATTGATAATTACACGTGTTTTAAGCTATGCGTCGCTTAAGACAATGAGTGCTGAATGAGGGTAAATTCCATGTACAACCTGAGACCCTTAATAGATAGAACAATGACCAGTGAACCAAGTTAGGTAGCAAGAGAAGCCAAAAAAACCGGATAGGGGTTTATGGCCTTTTGTTGGATGAAGCGCAAAGAAATTCAAAATATCTACTTATATGTGGGTGTATTCAAGCGTAATTTTCCAGATTGTTTACCTGAAAATTCCTGAAGTTTTCAGCCGCTATATCTAGATTTAAGTATCCAGGTCAAAATTAAAAATTCGCAATAATTAATGTTTTAAAATTGTTCACTAGACCATGAAGCAATAAAACGTCACGTCTCCTCAAGCTTAGTAAAAATGATAAATAGGCAAGAAGTTTATCTGATTGAATTTTGATTCATGGAAAACATTCGCAAATGTTTGTCAGATTTTTCAAGTTCACATTGACATTAATCAGAATTAAAATGACAACAATTGCAAACTGACGTTAATCAAAAACAAATTGACAGCAATCAAAATTTTATTGACATTAATCAAAAGCAAATTGACAATCAACAATCAAGTTCAATAGTGAAACTATTAAATTAAATTATTAAAAAGTTAAACTTTTGCAGTCATTCCTTGACATACTGGTGAGAGTTTCGGGTGTTTAGGCGTCCTTAATTAGATTTTTTTCCGGACGTTTCGCAAGCACTTCAGATGTGGTTACTGCGTGGAGCAAACTGTATCCCGGCTGTTTGAAGAAATGTAACACTTTTCCATGAAATAAACCAAAAATGGTTCAATTTGCATTTAGGAATTTTAGTTGAAAGTCGTTCCTTAATCTGAACCGTGGTGGAAAATAATTAATTTCTTACTTTCACGCCAGGAAGTAATAACTTTCCATAGGAAACTATCAAGGAAGCGGAGATTTTGAAATATTCACAGGTGATGAGAAAAACTTCCCAGTTACAACCCAGTTGAATTTTTCTTGTTCCGTCAGTGACAAATCTGTATCAGGATTTTTAAAACAATTTTGGATTACAATATATTATATTCATGCATGTATTAAAAGAATGTTTCTGCGGCAAATAAAAAAGGGCCTGCATGCCAACCCGTAATCTTGCACCTACTGGGGGTATCAAAAAGATCTGCTTATTGACGGGGCCACAATCAAGAACGACCAGAGGAGCAGCTACCAAAGAAGGTAAAGGTAGAGTTAAAATAAACGCGAAACATCGTCAATTCATGGGGCGCAGAAAATCCTAAAATCGTTCTTAATAACTGAGTGAAAAGTGCGTTCGACTGCATCTGAATGGACTGATATTCACTTTGAAAGACACTCATAGAGAACCAGAAAACCCAAATCGTTTGGAAGGAAAAACAAGCAGGCAAAACTGCGTTGGAAAATTGCATTAGTTTTGCAAGATATAAATTTAAAGAAAGTTTGTTATTTAAAACTTTTGTTAGTGGCTTCAATTATTTATTACATTATCTACTGTGTCTATCATTCAATAAATTATTGTATTCAACTGAAAGTTGACCAGCCAATTTGGTTTTCTTTATTGTCAATTACTTTTGATTAATGCTGATGTTGCCAATTTGATTTTGACTATTGTCATTTTATTCTGACTAAAGCCAATTGAACTTGACTTGAACTTGTATTGTTCATTCGAACAAAATGCCTGTTTACTTAATTTTGCCAAATTCTAAATAATTAAGAATGCGCATTTAACTTGTATAATTGACTGCAGTCAACTTAAGGTTATTCCAGTAATAGTTACATCCTTTTTAGTCATGAATAATTGACTCGATTATATTGTGCAGTAATTTATTAACTGAGGATTAGAATGCAACTTTTAACGTTAAATTGGAAGTTCACGGAAGCGTGCAATAAACATCAACATATCAAATGACACAAACAAAATCATTGTATCAACATCAAGCAACAGGACTTTAGGAAGCAATTTAATTTACTCATTAGTTCACTTCGGGGTAAGTTCTCATGCCAATGCTTTATATAACTTGTAATGAATTGAAATGCATTAATTTTAATTATTATTTATAGGTATACCCGATGTTCCATTAGCATGAAATAATTTATTAAGAATTACTTCTAAACGACTGGAGGCAGGCAGAGAATAAAAATTTCCAGGATTATTATGCGATCTGCATTAACTATGCATCATACCAGGTACTTGGTGAATTCGACATTAAATTTCCAATCATTTGCTCCTGTGGCTGATCGGAAATTTGATTTTCTTGTCTTAAGTGACGCTTGCAAAGGATGTTTTGAAAATGGATTTCGCAAAAATGGTAGAAGAAAAATTGTATTGGCTTTTCATATTTTAAAGTCTCTCTAGCTACACATATGTATTTTTTACAAATTTTCAAATGACTAAAACCATTTTTTTTTCAAATGCAACTTTTTTGCTGGATTGCTGGACACTTTTCTCCAAAATAAACCCCATGTCTTCTAATTCTTTGGTCGAAAACTTCATTTTTGTGACATAATATGAAATCAACGCAACAGTTGGAAATTTTCACAAAACTCTCTTATATGGGTATGGAACATAATGGTATCAAAAAACGTAGACTGAGATGCCGAGTAAATTTGATTAAAAAGACATGGTTTTCACGTGAAAAAAAGTTAGTCAATTGAAATATTTGAAGTTCTAGTAATCGTAGAAAATACATATGAGCAGCTAATAAAATGATAAAACACTAAAAAGAAAGTCTTTCTCTAACTATTGGCGAAAGAAGGAGTCGCTATCTCTAACTGTTTCTGAGAAATCATTTTATAATTACCCATTGCCAGAATCACTTTGCACAAGAAAATTAAAACTGCCGGTCAATCATAGGTGCAAATGATCGACAATGGGGCATCAAATGATTGCAAATTTAATTTTAATGCGCTTTTATGAGACTGTTAACCGGAAAAGAATTTTAACATCTGCGCGAGTGAATAAACCACGATATTTTTATTTTCTGTTTCTGTTTTATCTCTGAAAGCAGTTTAGCGGTTTTCATAATGTGTGAGATTTTTCCCACTTCCGCAACTATGTCAAATGCTAAATGGATCCTGATGCTGATCTAATTTAAGACCGAGACATTGGCAATAAATCAAAAAATATTCCAGGAAATTCGTTCATTTTCATTGCAGCGTCCAAAGTACCTTATATTCCCCTCAACTAGCTAGTTCTGATCGGTTTTATCTTAAATTCTTGAGATTCACTTCGCTCGAGATAAAATATGCACAAAGGCAATTTTATTGGAACTTTCCAATAAAAATCGCGATTTAAAATGCAGGAAATTAAGGTGCTTATGTAAATCTAAATCGTGTTATTAGTAGCATACGCAACAGATAATTACGTTACTAAATCTCCCTAATTTTCTAATGTCGCAACAGTTGATAATTATCTTATTTATTTTTTTAATACTGCTTGCATGGTGTTGGAATGTTTGGATTTAAGTCATCATTTCTCATTTGCATACCCTGCATACAGGGTGACACACACACACAATACAACGATGTTCAATTCAATAATTCATTGCTCGTTAATGTTTTAATTACATACATAAATCCGTGCATTATAGAGGGGTGTGATATAGGAAAACCTATTCTGTATATTCTTCAATAGAAAATAATCTTTATAGCGCATAAAATAGGTCATCAACTGAAAGAAACCAAAAAGGCTTTGAATGAAAGTTATATAGTTTTCTAAAGACCGTAAATCTGGAAAAAATGTAGGGGTTCCTATTTAACATTTGAAAGCTGTGGGGATTCATTTTGGTATCATTTGATAGCTTCTATCCGTATTATACGTGTTTTTTCAGATATTCATGGGTTTCCACACGCTTTGGACACATAAGAAAAAGGACTATAATGTTAAGCTCTAATTTCCAGGCTTATGAGTATAACGAGTTTAGTCGCTTAGTTCAAATGTGTTTGTAAAGGTTTTAGACTAAAACCTTTACATTATTACACAATTCAAATTTCGCTTTCTGGGTCAAAACTACTCGAATTTCCTCACTCATGTTGTTATGAATCAAATTTTCAATTCTCTATACAACGATGACCAAACGAATTATGTGGCTCAAATGAGGCTTGAGAAACTTCGAAAAAAGCAGCGTCATGTTTGAGTCGATTTTGCAACTCAAAAAAACCGGCAAATCTAAAACTTCTTAAAATCAAGACTTTTTTGCTTTTTGCAAAAAATGCATTCAACTATATTCTGAAGAATAATCACACTGTAGACGTTCGGAAGCCTCGTGATCAGCTACAAATAATTAGCTACAAAATATTGAACAAACAAATTAGCAGTTACTCGCAAACTTACAAAAACAAATCTTATGCCATTAAAATGATTGCTACCTTGAACAATATATTAATTATTTATGCATTTATGCAATAGATTTAATTCTACCACATTACAAAGGTAAAAAGCGTTTAATAGTATTGAGGAACGAATGTGGTTAACAATCTGCAATTCAGCTGCAAGTGAAGCTTTTAGTATTAAAAGTGACTTTTATACTTGAATATCCATCCAACAAATAGTCATAAATTGAGCAAATGTGCTTCAATTGGTCATGTTAGGAAAATTGAATTATAAAAAATGTGTGAACAATATTACTAGAATAACAATTCTTTAAAAACATTATTATGACACGTAAACGAGTTTATTTGGGATTGATCTCAGTTCCCATGTAAGGACGGGTGAAATGTTCAGATTAAAAATTCGATTAATTACAGCCTACTCAAATGAGTAAGTAACAGCCGACAGACCGGTTGTTGAAATCTACACGAAACAATTATCGCCTTTTCCAGTAACACTTTTCAATGCTGTTAATGAACCAATCATGTTTTCAAATTCGGTAACCAGCGTAATTAAAACACCCATATAAGACATGTAAAAATTACTTCCTTAACTTTTAATGATGAGTAATTTTCAAATTTCCGGCATATTAATTAATATCTCTTGAATAAAATAAAGGTCATTTTTGTGATTTCAGTTCGGATTACTCATGCAGTACAAGGTAGCTGAAAGCTTAAACACAATGTAGTATCTTAATAATGCGAAGGAATGTTTTAAATGATTTAATGCTTTATTGTTATCAGTTATGCACATTTGGAATTAATCGAATTAATTAATTTTGAAATGGAAATAGCTGGTAATAGGTACTAAACGAACGTTCAAAGAATAATTTCTCAAAGAATTCATAATTGTGTGTAGATTTTTTTGATTGCGAAATAGGTAATTGAAAATTCGCCAAACTTTGACGAAAATAATGTACATAGATGCTGAAAAAGGCTGAGTTATGGAATCTCCAATTTTGGCTGATGACTTGCAGATTACGACTAAATAAAAACCAAGAGCTTTGCTACATAAACTCGTATAGAAGTCTGACGTTAATTTGGCGTAATTTATTATACATATTGGCCAGCAGCGACGTCAAACTATTACGTAAAATATGCGACAAAATGTACAGTCGAATCTCACTTAGGAACCATCGAAAAACGTTACGTCTAATGTACGTAATATTTGCTCAAATTTGCATTTAAGTTGTGTACAGTAGACTGGAGGAAGATTTTTGAAAAGCCATGAAATAAACTTCTAAAATTTTTTTCATTTTATTTCAGAACATGAAGACATTAGATGATAGAGAGTAATAAACATTTTGTTTTATTTCCCCGAATAGGTACTTTAAACGCCAAAAACATGATAAGTTTGTAAATCCGTCAACTTCCCTCTAGGATTTACAAATTAATGTTTAACTGTCTCTGGTTTAACAACCATCTTAACCTTCGCATATTAAATAATCGATTTTGCATATGAAAACTGATCAATTTTATAACATCCGCTATAAAACTTACACAGGCAAAGTGACTCCAACCTGATTTATCTGGCAACAGAATACATGCCATATCTAAACGGTTATTGAATGCTTTGTTTTCGACCTAAGAATGCATATGTAGGTTAGTTAAGGTCCATAATAAATGGCAGAAATCGTCGGTGGCAAATTACAAAAGTGTGTAAAATAGTTCAAAATTATCAGTTATTTCGACTTAGAGTGTTCTAGCGTTGGATTCCTGGATTTTTGGGATACAAATGGCGTAGGTATAGAAGTTTCACCTTAGGATTTTTTAGTACTACGTAAGAAACTTCAGTTTGTATATAGAGGGGTGGTTAACTCTATAATTTACGATCGCATTAGACTCAATGTGCGGAGGATTTTACCGATTCTCAGTTTGGATTCAGAAAGGGTGTTTTTGCATGCTTTATCGCCAATGAAAATTTTTTACCTTATACGACACAGTAAACTTATGGCAATACTACAGGGAACTGGGATAGATGATAGTTATCCAAATAATTAAAAATCTTTAATGGAATTAGTGTTGAGCAAAGCAAGATGGTACGATGATTCGAAAGTGTTTCTATTGGTTGGAGATCTGTCAATTCGTCCTCCTCAATAGAAACACTCGTATCATCGTACCATCGTATAAACGGATGCATGGGACACAGGCTTAAGTCTTGCTTTTAAGTAAAGCGTTAAGTTATATAAAATTAATTCAATAATAACGATAATTATAATAAAATTAAAAGATAATCATAAGCAACAAACAATATCAGGCTGTTTGCAAGAGTCTTGCGAGAGTCTCTTGCCTAGTTGACTTTTAGTCATAGTCTTGCATACCAAAAAGCTTGGCTTTGAGTTGACTTTTTTGGAAGACCAGTTTTCCTCATAACTAATTGGAATAAAACCGCGCAAGTAAAAACAATTAATTTCAGAACAGACAAGATAGAAATACAACGCGGAGTAAGACAGGGTTGCGCACTATCACCTTTACAGCGGAAGAGATATGAGAATTTTGCATGAAAATAAAGACAGCCAAAAACTACAATCAAATGATGATACAAGAGAATTGGCGGGGAAACAGCAGTTGTGGCTCCAACAATGGTAAAATTTCTCGCATGGCAGAGGACAGAACAAGGTAAATTTTGTCAACGTAAGGGAGATCGGACGGATAATGGGGAAGGAAATGGAAAAAGGCCATAACATATTGAAACCGCTCAAGATAGTCCAACATTTCTGGTTATTCAGGGTTTAGCATGTCTGTTACGGAGTCCTCGCTTCTTTGCAATGAATTTGGTAGAGTTTCAGATTTTATGA